TGGAGTTACCACCACCCAATGGAATTGCCATTGGAATATGTTCTGCCTGTGTACACACGGTATGTGTTTGGCTGTGGCCATGCAATGGAGTTACACTCGCTCTCCTCATGCTCTTCTGGTGGGATTGTGACTTTTGTCCCACGCTGAATGCACGCAGGCACAGTCCCTCTGTCCAGTTTACTGACACATTTGGTGATTCTTTATCCTCCTTCCAAATGACAGGACTTGCATGGCTCATTTGGCCAGAAAATTCAKAAAGTGACTGTCCTTACTTCAGCAGAAGACTAAACTCCACACCTGTAGATAAGACTGATCAATCCCACAACAGTCCTTGCCCATCAGGGCAGGTATATCCCAGGTATTTGGTTTCTGCTCTTTGCCCTCAAGTGTGGTTGACACTATGAATGCAAGGAATCAGGCYGGCCAGCATAACAGAGACTCTAGCTACGGCATATTTCTAAAACCTCAATGCCAATCAGAGAAGCTACCAAACAGGGAAAGATGCACTCTGTCTCCACCAACAGAAGAGTCAGAAATGACGAGCTGAAATGCTCTCTGCTACGTGCTGCCAGGGGATTTTATCYGTAGATTGCCAGAGAGATGTCAGTTCCCTGGGAGAGTGAGGATAAAGTGCCTCACYGAGAAGTGGATTTGCATTATGGATTAAAATACCAGCTTTGGGATAAACCTGGTATTGTCCTACTAGCAGCTGAAAATTTGGGAAAGAATGAATCTTTAAAACGGGTCTCACTCCCTCATCCTTTCTCCCTCTCTGCCCACTGTCCTGGTACCTCTGGCTAACTCAGGTAYCAAGAGCGGCAACTTACTGAACATGTCAGGCCAGGTCTACTGGTCCTGGAAACCAACTGCACAGGATGCCGTGACACAAAATAGCACCTATGTCAATGGGGCAGCCACCATGACCAGCACGGGCCATACACAGGTGGCAGACAAGAGTGTCCAAGGACGCTGCATGCAGCGGTGCCACAAGCAGGTGCCCTACAGCCGTCACTGAAGGTCCTGGGCGAGTATCTTGTGTCAGGTGGGYGTCTTGTCTCATGCCCAGAAAGGAAAGGGATTAACAAATCAGTGAGCAGAAAAAAAGAAAGGAAAAGTCGAGGTGGGTCCTTTGAAGGTCAGATRTGACTGCAGAGGAGGTAACAAGGATGGGAGATGGAGCAGGCAGCCAGTGGGGAGGCCTGGGTTTGCAGCCCTCCCGGGTCACAGCCGCGTAGAAGAGCCTGCTACAAGCGAGGAACTGCCGTGGCAGCGTTTGTCTCAGCTTCCTGTCCCTGCACGCCCCCGAGCTGGCCGCGAGCGGGTGCTCTCCGAGGCAGGCGGGTGCCCCTCTGCCTCTCGCGGCAGGGAGGGAGGCCCCGCTAGCCTCCAGCCGCCTCCCTCGCCCGGCCTCGCCAGGGCTGGCTCGGCTCGTGCAGTTGMTTTATGTTGCTGCTGGCGCATCTTCTTGCCACACAACTGTAAACCTCTCTCCGCCGTCCCTCTTCCAGCTGGCAGCGCGGCCAGGTCTGCCCGCACCCTTGGCGCACGCAGCCTTTGGCTGAACTCTGGGGCTGCTGCGGCTCCGTTATCTCTCGCAGAGCATCGGGCCCTAAAACAATACGGGCTCTGGGTGGTAAGAAGCTGTACAGATCAGAGACGCCATCGAAGTTGAGTTATGTAAAGGAATGAAGCTCCTTGGAAGCAGTCCCTGAGCCTGGAGGACTCCACTGTGTGTATTATGCTACTCTTTTAGTGGCCTGGCTCTTGGCCAGGCTCACCCCTTTGCACAAGGAGCGGGTCTTTCATGCTAGTTCTGCCAACTCTGCTCCTCTTACCTCCAAAAAGAGTTGTTATAACTGACACCACATGGATTTTTACCACCATAGTCCTGTTTCTCGCAGAATCACGAAACACTGGAGTCTGGAAAGGCCATTTAGAGATCATCTAGTCCAACCTCTTAGCTCAAGCATGGTCACCTAGAGAAGGTTGCTCGGGACCCTATCCAGACAGCTTTTCAATATCTTTGAGGGTAAAGAGACCACAGCCCCTCTGAGGAACCCATTCCAACATTCAGCCACCCTCACAGGAGAAGAAGGAAGAAAAAAAAGGAAAAGAAAAATGTAGCTCAGCTGACAGATGTTATAAAATGCCAGAAACTCTAGGATCATCTGGGACACAGGCACACCTCACCAGGCAGRAATGTGTAATGGAGGCCAGGATGCACCACTTCCTAGTGAGGAAGAAGGCACAAGGACAGGCAGGATGGGACAACAGAGAACTAGAAAAAAAAAAAAAAAAAGGTGAGCAGATCAGTCGTGCTCTCCAGAGAAACGTCAGCACCAGTGTTTCTTTTATTTTGTCTCCCTCTAGAGAAAGGAGAAAAGAGGCATCAACGTCTGTGACAGTTGTTAGTCACACTGCCTCACGTGCTACTGAAAGGTGCTTGACATTGSGGGTGGGGATGAAACACAAAGCTCTAGCATGATAAGAAAGAAAAAAAATCAACCACGTTGTCCCAGTCCTCACCTGGCGATTATGGCTTTAGCCTGTCTGGCAGAGAAGGCTTTGACAAGCTCTCCCAGTTGCCAAGCCTAAGCCAGCCCTTCTCTTTGAACAGACTTCGTCTTATTTCTTTCCAAGTGGTGCACAGAGAGGAAAGAGGAGAGCTGAAAGGCTAGCGAGGACGCTGGGGCAAAGAGGAGGCCAGGGAGTCGTCAGCACCAGAGCAGATTTCCTTTTCCAAGGCACGAGATTGAATTTGTTCACTGCGTWGCAGAACGAGGAGAGAAATGTCACCTTCAGCGGTGATCTGACAACACAAAAATAATTACATAAAGAAAAAGATGAGAACTTGTGAATATTCATGAGCAAGTCAAAAACCCAAAATTAACAAGGAAATTAATTACCAGATTGATTAGCCTGCCAACTCCTTTTATTTAAATAAGTCAACAATTGCCTTCATGTGACCTCTGCGGAGGAGCGCGGAGCATCGCGGGGCAGCTCCGATGCTTGGGATGCACCGGCCCCACGGGTGCTGCCTCCCCACAGCCCCCGGCCCTCCCTCGGCCACTGGCCCTCCCTCCGCCCGATGCTCCGGATGCTGCGGCTCCAGGATCCCGCGGCTTCTGGATTCCCGAGCCAGCCCAACCGCTGGCTGCGCTGCCGGTGCTCTCCCTGGTCCCACCCTCTTACTCACGCTGGCTCCCAAGTGCTGTTGCAGCACGCCAAGCTGGCAGGAAAACCATTGAGCAATTAAAAAGTAAATTTAGGGAAAAAAAAAAAAAAAGGGATTTTTTTCCCCTTAGTCCAGAGCACTAGGAGAGCCGAGCAGTGAGCTCGCCCAGTGAGCAACAGCACAGGTGAGGAAAGCAACCTGATCTAACCTGGAGGCTGGATCTAATGCTGGATTTGACCCCGACACGGGCGGTGGGATGAAGCAGTGGCACCCAAGGGTCTCTTTGCACCTGAACTGCTACGCGATGCTAAGGCAGGACAGAGGGGAATCGGCCTCGCTGGCTCAACGGCCCCGTGCGGAGGCTCCGGGTGCCGGCCTCGGCCGGGAGCAGCCTCCTGCCTCTCCCGCGGCCCGCGCACGGAGTAACTCGCGGGCAGCCCCTCTCGCGGGGCCAGCCGGGGCTGGCGCAGGGGGCCGCAGGGCCGGCGCGGGAGGCTCCTCGCGAGGCAGGGCCCGGGGCGGCAGCGGGACGGCAGCTCCCACCGGGCCTGYGGTGCCAGTGGGGCTTCGTGCCCGACCTCGGCCAGGGCGGAAAACCGGCCCCGAGGGGGCTCTTTGCCGGCCCACACACCAGAGCCGCCCGCACGGCGGCCACGRAGGCGCCAGCCGGGCCCGCGGGGCAGGCGGCAGCTCCGGGAGCCGGAGCCTTCCCTGCCCGGGAGGCCCGGGCGCTGCCGCGGGGCCGGGGCTCGAACCGGCGACCCCAAGGCCCGTACGACCCCCTCCCCCAGGCCGCGGCTGCCCGGGCGCGCTCATGAATATTCACGAGCGCTCATGAATATTCAGGCAGGCGGCTCTCCCGCGCCGCCGCACGTCACGCTAGGGAGTCACCCTCGGCCGGAAGTGGCCCCGCGGCCGGCCTTGGGAGCCCCGCGCGCCCTCCCCCGCCGGCACAGCCACTTCCGCCCTTCCCGCAGCCCGGGCTCCCCGCGCGCCGGCGCCCCGCACTTCCGGTAAGCGCGCGCCCACGGCGCCCCGCGGCCCCCGCACTTCCGGCGCGGCGGCT